TCAGTTTTATATACCTATTTAAACTTTGTGTAGCCTAAGTAATTTGTTATTTTATTAGGCATATATGGTGTATTTGTATTAGTTTTGTTAACAAAAGTTCTGAGTTTGACGTTGAATTTGAATTGAATCAACGCCGAATTGCCGCTAATTTGAAAGTGAAAGTAAAACACGCACGGCACTTTTACAAGCCATTTGAAAGCGAAGAAAAGAGGGAAACTCAAATGAACTAACCCCCCCCCACACCCATTTTTGGGTGAACTGTCCCTTTAATTGCACTGTCAAGAAGTGTCTCTGTGGAATCCGAGAGAGTGGAGATTGGAGAGTGAGAGTGGAGATGACTTCTATAAATATCGCCGTCAGATAACATTACCTGAGCGCAGTCAGGTATATCATGACCACATTATACTCCTGAATCAATTGTGATCGTATGTCATCCAGCTACGTAGCATTGCTGATTAAAGGAGGTTTCATTTGCTTGGTTACGATTCAGACCGATACTTGGATGCAGAGGATTTAGATGCTTAGGGCCTGTGATTTTCTTCAGCTTCATCTGAGCTGCTAAACAAGTCACACAGGTGTGGAGAATAGAGTTGATTGGCATTGAATAGCACTGAATAGAGCTGATTGGAGTGATTCGTGGTGGTCTAATATCATTTTTATTTCACAAAATGTCAAAGGAACAGCACTGCATTTGTGGAGACAGTCAGGCCAGATTTTTTCATGTATGTTGTAGGCTGTGTATTGTGTGTGCTGACCGACTCGCTCTTGCGCCCACAGTGTCCTCTGGGGAAGACATCAGTCGTGGCGTATAGCATCTTCTCTTATCACTGAGTCCAATGGATACATTGTTTGGCCTACGTTTCAGACGGAAAGCCTGTGAGCCAAGTGGACCCAGGCTCTCCAGCGTGTCACTTCCAGCGAGTAAAGCACGCCGGCGCTCCAGCGTGGGCCTGCCGTCAGCAGGCCTGGCTCAGAGACGCAGGTCTAGCACTCAGCTCCAAACCAGCAACGTGCAGGCGGGGGTCTTACACCGCAGAAGAGGACACTTCACCAGGAGGAGGTCGAGCGGTGCAACAGCCTGCCTGACCCCACGGTTCGCTATACGACGAAGACAGGCTGCCAAACACCATAGCATTCACGCCCAGCTCCTTGGACCATCACTGCTCTTGGCTAGCGTGGTGCAAATGAGTGAAGATCATGAAACTGAGAATAAGAGTGCAGAAGAATACTCCTCTCTCTCTGATAGTGACTGTAGCCAGGAGGAGCACAAGCAAGCAGGGATGGACTTAGAGTTGGAGTCTGATAAGTGTATGACGTGGTTGGCTCAGGGTTTGATGCCAGGAGAAAGTATTCAGCCCCGTCCCCTCATCCGTGCCCCACGTTGCCTGAGGCGAAACTCCTCACACCTACTTCCTGCTGAAGCCATTTACCGGAGCACAGGCTCTTATGGGCTGTATGGCCGTTACCGTAGGACCAGTCAGGCACAGGGCCTGTCTAATGTAGGTGGATTGTGGGCAGGGAGGCGAAATTCTCTTGCAGGTCCAGGATCAGTTGCACTGTACAGGACGAGCTCCCCTTGCTTGCCAGATCTCAGTCTTTCACACACACGGCAGGGAATTTACTACAACCCACAGATTGACACATGGAGTGCATTCCTCTCGTATGTAGAGCCCTAACTACAGCTGTATGTCTTAGTATGTGTGTGCTTGTAATGTTTTCACCGAAAGCTATTTGGACTTTGCGGTCACATTTTAATGCCGTATGTGAGAGTATATATGTCCCTTTTCAAACTTTGGGAGAAAGATTTTTTGTATTTGTTTTTTTTTTTCCCTCAGCACTACATAATTTCAACTCCAAAGTAAATAACCTTAATACTAGCCTTACTGTAAATCAAGCACTCCAACAGTAATTCCAATATAGGTGATTATGGAACTTTGTCTCTTGTATTCTTGTATTCTCTTTGATATTTTGATGTTTACACTAGTGAACTTTTCCTTTAGCTGTATGTGCAAGAAATATGATTGGTGGAGCAGTGGGATTATTTTATGAGTGTCAGTTTGGCAGCTAAACACAAAGTTTCAATGTTTCTGTTTCTCTTTTCTTTTTATTCTCTCCTTTCATTTTTTCAAATTGATCTCACTTCTCCCGAGGTGTTTTTTGTGTTTTTTTTATTCTTTTAATGGTTTACATGTGACGCACACTGTTAAAACAACAGTAATTTGAATGTTTTGTTTTGTTTGAAACTTTTACTGTCCTTCTTTGTGTATGTGTACATCCGGGCTATACATTGAGTTTCTGTTTATCATTTTTGCTTGATGTTTTATGGGACCTGTCTATTTTGTGTTTGTCTGTAGGAAGGCCATTGCCAAGTCCGGTCTCCAGCACCTGTCATGCCAGCCCAGTGCTGCAGTGTTGGCTAAGGGGGAAACCGACAGAGAAATACGCAGCACAGTGGACTGGAGTGTGAGTAACACAAACCCAAATAATCTAGACTTCAGATCTCTATTCATTGTACTCTTGATAGAGCTACAGTTTCTTTCTCTGGTTTCACATTTAATTTGATGCATTGTATTTGAGCAGGAATCAGCTCTGTACGGAGAGCACATCTGGTTTGAGACGAATGTCTCCGGGGACTTCTGTTACGTCGGAGAACAGCACTGTTACGCCAAGTCCCTGGTGAGTGTGTGTTCTATAGGAATGCCAGCATAAGTCCCTCTTTACTAAAGAGAGATAACAGAGTGAGTAAACAGAGGAGAGTAAATAGCGGGACGAAAGTGAGAAATTCCAGATTAGAGAGAATACAGGATGGTATAATATACTGGAGAATCTAGAATATATGATGGAGGATATAGAAATAGATGGATGGTAAAGGGGGAAATAAGAGAGAATCTCTCAATTGCACATTTCTCTTTTTCGCTCATATTTTCTCTCTTAGCGTAATGCTGCCCCCTGGTGGCTATCTTACAAAATGCATTGCATAATTTCAATTTTCAAATTATGGGCACTAAATCATTATGATTTAGTTCTTGATTGTTAATTTTGCGTCAAGTGAAGATCACCTCAGTCAGAGCAAATCTAATGTCCCTTTTTCCTGTTTTTCACAGCAAAAGTCTGTTGCTCGGAAAAAATGTGCCGCTTGCAAGATCGTAGTTCACTCCATCTGCATTGAACAGCTGGAAAAGGTGAGTGTCGTTACCAGTGGCAGGTAGAGGTAGAGACATGATCTGACACTGCATCACAGACCATACGTGTTCCTCCCTTCAGTTATTGGACTGGAATGCTCTGCCCCAAGGGGAGGGGCTTGATGAGGTGCCTCTCAAAGACCCATCATTCAGAGTGAGAAACCCTCTAGCTTTTTATCAGACTCAACTGGGGATAATGGATCATTCACACATCTGATCTTAGTAAAGAGTGGTGACTGTCTGGCCTGATAAACCTAGAACAGCCAAATAACAGAGTCCCGTTAACATCTGGTGCCACTTTAGCTCTCAGTTCATCCAGCCTGTGAAGGGGGCATCCAAAACTCTTTTTGATAACTTGATTGATTTGAAGTTAAGTTTGGTTTTAACCATATAATGCAGAAAGGTTTTCTTGCCAGACACACTCTTTTTCTTATTAGCACCTTAATCACTATCAATGCGATTGGGCAAGTCAGTGTCGGGTTGTTGGTGGAGTTTTATTTTACTCATGAGGCACAGATACTGTGTGCTCAGTATTGAATTGGGCTGGTGTCTTCAACAGTTTGTGCCTGGTATGTGGGGCTGATTGTGGTGAAATGATGCTTGATCAGGGATGATTTTAATCATACTTCTCACTAATCAGTCTAATAAACTCAGAGAAGATGTAGAGGCAAATGGTGCATTTGGTTTTTGTTCTATTCTCATATACTCTTTATAAAATTCCAAAATGTATTTTTCCCCCTGTAGAAGTATTAAGCTCAGTTAGGAATCTCCAAATCTGAGCATGTTTTCTGGAAAACAATCTAGCAGTTTGTGGTTTTGATGAGCTACTGATTGTTTCATTGTTGGGGTTTAAAGGTGCCATAGAATGGAAAACTGTATTTACCTTGGCCTAGTTGAATAATAACAGTTCTGTACATGGAAATTACATACCGTAAGCCTCAAACACCATTGTTTCCTCCTTCTTATGTAAATCTTGTGCATGCAAAAGACCACTGAAAAATAGGCGAATCAGAACATAACACCGACTGTGACGTTACAGTCAGGATCACTAATAGTTATGCCCCCAACATTTGCATATACCCGCCCATGTTCTATGCCAGCCGCCAGCCGAACCTGCACAGCCGAATCATCAGAAGTTCTGCAGGTATTGTGAAGAAACAAGCGAGGACAACAGCGAAAATGGCAGATCATGGAAATTAATGTTATGTTCCAGGCTGTGCAGGGGATGTGATGTGCAGGGATGGGTTGGTGTCTATATTCAGAAAGGCACGGAAAACAAATAACACACGTTCTAATAAAATACCGCTAGCCACTAAAGGGACATGGTTAGCTGCTTGCTAGCGGTAGCCTGTTACATTACAGTACGTACGATTTCACTTACCACATAAACAGAGTAAGGAGAGATGACTGAGGATGATGGCGAATGATTTACAGATCCTGAGCACCACTGACAAGCATCTGATCTTGTAAAATGTGTGGTAAGTACTGCCGCTGTAGTTTACACAGCACGTGATCAACGATCATGCATTCGAACGCAGTTTCAATGCCCTGCATATTAATATGCGGCTCCCTGATGCCCGCATTTTATATACAGTATAATTACCCAACGATATAACTGCGAGAGACAGTATTAAAATATATATTTTCCCTGTGTTTCCTTCCTGCTGTGTGAGCTACTGAAATGAGCCGCACTGTGAAACAGCCAATCAGAGCAGAGCTCAACATTATTATTCATGACCCTTCCAAATAATGTAAAAACAGACCATTTCATTCTAGGGACATATCCTAGGGTTGTAAATGGACATGTAGAACCGTTTCTGGAGATTTTTTGCCCTTACCTAAGCCACATACCTTATATGTAGATATCAGAGAACAATTAACATTTTTGTATCAATGCATTCTATGGCACCATTAAATTAGGGTAAATACTAAATAGTATTGTAGAAAATAAGATTTTTTAAAATTTTCTTTCAGATAAACTTCAGATGTAAACCATCTTTCAGGGAGTCAGGTTCACGGAACATCCGGGAAGTGAGTTTCTTCTTTTCTTTATTTTCTAAATATCTCTTCCATTCTGCCTGTTTTCCGATTCTGTCAAACTTATTGCTGCAAAACCTTCATAGCTTGATATAAATAGCCAACAGCAGTGTGCTTAAAGTCATTTTATTTTTATTATTTATAAATTAAATTTTTAAGATAAGTACTTCGTTTTCTTCATTGTTATTTGTAAGTTTAAGATTTGTAAGTAGTTCTATGCAGCTGTCTGAGTGACCCCAGACTGTTTTACACACACTTCAGGGGCAGGTGCTGTTTGCTGTTTAAATCTTTCTTTACCCTTTTTACTCTGTTTTCCTTTTTATGCGTCCCCTATGTCACTCTCACTGCTGTAATCCGTCCCTCGTCTCCTCATCCTTTTCTCTCCATTGCACTTCTGCTCCTATGTGTGCCTTGTCTCTTCCTGTCTCCCATCTTGCCTTGGTGGGTTAGCATACCTGGCGACGCAGAGCTTTCAGAGGTCGCCGTGCTTTGGAGCAAATGAGAGGTGCTGCATGTCCCTCATCTCCTCATCCTTTTCTCTCCATTGCACTTCTGCTCCTATGTGTGCCTTGTCTCTTCCTGTCTTCCATCTTGCCTTGGTGGGTTAGCATACCTGGCGACGCAGAGCTTTCAGAGGTCGCCGTGCTTTGGAGCAAATGAGAGGTGCTGCAGCTAAATGTAATGCGCACACCTCTATCACAGAGGTATCACACACACATTCACACAGCTGTGATGACACCTTTACTTGGCTAAATGAGGGCTCGTACATTTCTGTTGTTTTTAAATAAATCTAATTACAATTACTACAAACTAACTAGTTAGTTTGGATTAGAATTGTTTTGTGTTCACAATAAATAGATAATGATTCACAAATAAATTTAGTGAAATTTACTCAATTTAAACAAATTCACAACTAAACACAATGACGTACAAATTTGTAATTAATTATTTAATTAATTAAACCAGCTTTGTATTGTTACAATGTCATTAGTATATGTAAATGAACATTGTGTGAAAGTTTCAAATCTATTTGTACTGTTGTCTGAAGTAATGCAATCACGTGGAGAAATTGAAAGGGGGCATTATAGTTATTATAGTTATATTATAGTGAACTCTATTTTCTATAGTCGCGTTGCGTCACGTTGTGCCACTCACGTCTGGTACATTGTGTAAGCCCAAACTATAACCCTTAACCCTAAAAGACAAAAAAAAAATCTGAAACATTTTTTCGTTTGGGTATGTCTAAGGGAGTTTGTACCAAAGTATTTAAGTATACATTTTCCCACACTCATACAGGCATTTCATCATGGCATTCAACTCAGTTTACAGGCATTTGGAATGCATCTCCAGAGGTCTTCTGTTCTCCTGATTTCTGTTCTGCTGTCTGCTCCTGTTCATACCATATCCCAAACCTCAGATTTGATCTTAATACCCCACAGCATAACCCCACAACATTACTGGTTTGATGTGGCATTTTAAGCACAGATTGTCATAATCTATGGATGGCACAGCTAAATGAGATCTTGTGTTTTTTATGGCAGCCAGCAATAGTGCGACACCACTGGGTCCATCGGAGAAGACAAGAGGGCAAATGCAAACAGTGTGGAAAGGTGGGTAGAATGGATCACAGCAAGAGTGTGTATTTGAGAAATTACATGTATTACATGTACATTTCAAAAAAGGCTAATGAATGAATTCTAAAGCTTATAACAGAATCTGATCTCCACCTACAGGGGTTTCAGCAGAAATTTGCCTTTCACAGTAAAGAGATTGTAGCTATTAGCTGCTCCTGGTGCAAACAAGCAGTAAGTCTCTCAAGCTGTTTGCATTAGTGTGTTTTCATATAGAGTATGTAAATGTGTGTAACTTTCCTCTCTTTCTGTCTGCAGTATCATAATAAGGTGACATGCTTTATGCTGCAGCAGATAGAAGAACCGTGTTCATTAGGAGCACATGCCGCCGTTATAGTACCTCCTACCTGGATCATACGGGTTCGCCGACCTCAGGTATGCACACTCTGTTAGGGTTGTTGGGCAGTTTTATGGGAAACATCCACAAATTGGATTAGATAATGAATTGAATTTGGTGGCTGTGTAAATTATTAAGCAGTGCTATCAGCATCTCTATGGCTAAATTAAATGTAAAACGCTAAATATAAACACCTTCAGTAAGGCATTCTGGCTACAATGCTCTGAGCAGCATTTCTACAAACAGATCTAAATCTTCAAATCGTGGTGTAGTATTGCTCTGTAGTATGTTCTGCTCTGTTTTACTATGTTCTGAAATGTTTTTGTCTTCTTGAATTGTTTAAAAACTCCAACATACAAAATGTATGAGACAGCATTCTTTGTTCAGCACTCAATTAGAATAAGTAAAAAGTTTAAAGAAAAAAATGGCAGTTGTGTTCTGTGTTTTCCATGAATTTTAAACGCTCAGAAACTGTATAGAACCAGAGAGCATTTTTATGCTGAAATGTAAATCTTTTCATCCACAGGTACTGTAGTTTTCCATTGTGTTTCTAATGATTCTCCTGGTGCAAACAAGCAGTAAGTCTCTCAAGCTGTTTGCATTAGTGTGTTTTCATATCATAGAGTATGTAAATGTGTGTAACTTTCCTCTCTTTCTGTCTGCAGTATCATAATAAGGTGACATGCTTTATGCTGCAGCAGATAGAAGAACCGTGTTCATTAGGAGCACATGCCGCCGTTATAGTACCTCCTACCTGGATCATACGGGTTCGCCGACCTCAGGTATGCACACTCTGTTAGGGTTGTTGGGCAGTTTTATGGGAAACATCCACAAATTGGATTAGATAATGAATTGAATTTGGTGGCTGTGTAAATTATTAAGCAGTGCTATCAGCATCTCTATGGCTAAATTAAATGTAAAACGCTAAATATAAACACCTTCAGTAAGGCATTCTGGCTACAATGCTCTGAGCAGCATTTCTACAAACAGATCTAAATCTTCAAATCGTGGTGTAGTATTGCTCTGTAGTATGTTCTGCTCTGTTTTACTATGTTCTGAAATGTTTTTGTCTTCACTGAATTGTTTAAAAACTCCAACACACAAAATGTCTGATACAGCATAGGGCTGGGCAATATGACGATATTATCGTATATCAATGAGGTCTCGTAAGTATCGCGATGTCGATGTCAACAGTCAGGTAACAGACGATTATCGACATTATCGGGGAAAAAAATGACAAATGATAAACCTAAGTAAGTTGCAAAAAATATTTTACATAGCCCCATAGTCACCATACAGGTCTTTTTGCATGCAAGAATGAAATAATTTAGTAGGACAAAGAATATTATTTTAGTAACTTATTAATTTTAAGTTAAATTGTTCTTTGTTGATATAATGTCTGCTAGAATGTTAAAAAATGTTTAGTGTTAAATGTTTTTAAATTGTTGTGTAATTGATTTTTTTTCTTTGAAAAACAAGACAAAACAGTAAAAAGCACATTTAGGCTATTTAATTTATGCAATTGTGAAAAAAAATGGCAAAATAGGCCTACATGGGGGAAAAATGTGAAAAACCATGTTCGGTATTCGGCCTTTGGCCCAGTGTTTCATTTTGTTCGGCTTCGGCCTAG